AGGTTGCAAGGAAGCTACTAGTAGCTCCTGGCATGTCTACTAGTAACAAGAAGCAACCAGTAACAAGGGCATCGCTACTAGGTTGCAAGGAAGCTACTACTGGTGCCCGTTGAAGTTAATACATTTTGCATGTGGGATACCAAACCACCATGGAACGCCGGTTTGCAAAAGTCAGCACTTAAGTCAAGACTGCTGGCCTTCCCCATTGTGAACGCTACACACAGAACAAGGTTCTCCAGATTCTCCTTTCGAAAAAAAAACCTTCAATTGCAAATCCCAATGGCAACGCAAGTTCGAGAAAGCTCTTTTGAAGGCTAAATGGAGGGTGTGTGGACAAAGGGGGTCAGCAAAAATCGCCGAAGTTAGTGCATCAAAAATACCTTCCACGAAGTTCTGCGAAGGTTTCTGGGATTTCGTTGCAGTCAGTTTTCCTACTGGCCCACCATTCCACGAACTGTCCACGAATAGCCTTGGGTTCTACGAATGTCCCGCGCCTTCCACAATGTTAGTAGAATAGGTGTTTGCAAAACCCTTTCTGTGCACTACCCTTCCGTTTGCCTCTGACTTTTTCAGCTCACGACCTCAGGTCGCTCTTGCGGATGAACCTGGAACGTGTTGCACGGCTCCAGTGCTCAAGCCACTTCCTTCGGCCTTTGGCCGTCTTGAAATCACCTTGGTCCCATCCTTGAGACCTAAAGTACTCTGCCAATCTCATCTGTCAAGAACTTGCAAAAGTAGCTGCAAACACGCTCAAATTCCGGCATTGAGACATCACACGCCTTCAAATCTTTCTCTAAGAACACTTCTTCCAAAAGGGCGCTGATGCCGTCTTTAGAATCAAGGTCAAAGCACTCCTCTTCTACTTCTTCTTGCAGGTTTGCAGGTGGCACGGGTTCTTTCACTGAAGCAGAAGCAGGGGCTGTTGTAGAAGCACCTGGTGTGGCTGGCGCAGCTTTCTGTACTTTGCTTGGAGCTGGTGTGGCAGGGGCAGCTGTAGCAGCACCTGGTGTGGGTGGTGCAACCGCTTCCTGTGCTTCCCCTTTTGCCTCACTTGCGCGCTTGCGCTTGCGAAGCTCACCCAACAAGTCATCTAGCTGAGACAACAATGCACTGTCTTCCTCTTTCACTTCGGCCTCTGGTACCGTAGGATTTGGTCGCCATCCAGAACGTGCTCCACTGCGAAGAAGATCAAATTTGTTCTGATCAAACTATTCGTTTGGCTTGCTACAGCCCGGGCAAAACTTCATGTTGGAGCTCACCCAGGTTTTGCACTCAGGACACTTTGTCTTTTCTGGCGAGCATGCCGCCACCAGGTTCAGCGTCTTAGACGCCTTCGAATCACTGGCATCCTTTGCGTCTCGCAAGGAACGGAATAGCTCTGCGTGCCTCTCAATGAAAATCTTGTCTCTGTCTAAAGCGCAACCTGCTTGAACTCCGACACGACTCCATGATGCAATAGCAATCTTCGGGTCTAGGCACATTGCTGCAATTCCCGACAATGTTTTGAGGGCTACGTACAATGTGAGTGGATTCCCTTTCCGCGCCCAACTTTGCTTAAAATTGGACCACATATGCGCCATTTGCGCATGGCACACTTGATCTAAGGCCATCAAGGCCTTTGTGCTATAGGCCGGCAAAAAGAAAGGGTAGATGTTGTAGGCTAGGCATGTTTTCCGGAATGGCACTGACAAGTTCATCCAGCTTCCGCCACCGCTGTCTGCCACCAAGACCACGGGGCGCTCCATCGGAATTGTTTGTCTGCAAGGCTTCGCTAGGCATTCCAATGTGAACTCCGAGAACAACTGCGCGTTTGAACTGCCACCAGGGTTGGCACGGACAGCATCTTCAAACATTGCCTGGGATGCGGAGTCACTTTCGTGCTCACTACAACACCAGAAGGATACCGACGAGCGAGAGATCTTCAAGAATCTCGCTGCTTGACTGCAAAAGTAACTGTGTGCTTCTAAGCTTTACAGAAGTGGCACACATTCAGTAGTGAAGGCACACCTGACCCTGGACTCTTGCCAGCTTTACTCTCATCAGCTGGCTTCGCTTTCAACTTGGAGAACATGTCAGGGTCATTGTCGCGAACCTGCTTTGCCAACGCCCTGGCTGACAAAGCCTGAGCGAAGTGGTTCCTTCCCAATGGAAGATTAAGGTTGCTGAGACCTCTTCACAAAATCCTTCACTCTTGCAGTGAGTGGGGAGCCCCTTCACTAAAAGGGTTGATATCAATGTGTGGACGTATATACATATCTCCTTAAAACATATCAATATACAGATATATAAAACATATATCCATAAATATATATATATATATAGACTGTAAAATAGACTTAAAACCATTGCGCCCTCTTGCTCTCCCAACAATGGAATAAATGCTTGCAATTAGAGAATTCTATCTCTAGACCAAACGAGACAAAGAGTGAGAGCATAAGATGCGCAAGTAAGAAAATAAGGAAACACATTTGTTAGGCCAGAGTTTGTAGTTTGGGTTTGTATTCTACTTGTTCACAAACAGAGACAAAGAGAGAGAGAGAGAGAGAGAGAGAGAGCAGGTTCCTTCCCTGCTACTTAACAAACAACAACAGCAGCAACAACAACAACGGACAAAGCAGCAGCAGGCCTGCACAGGCGGTGCGCAGGGCAATGGGAACAAGCGCGAACGGCACACAGCAGCAGCAGCACGACAGCAACATCCACCAACAACACTTTAACTCTATATAAATGAGGGAGGTAGGTGGAAGGTGAAAAGAATGTGGTAGGAGTGACTGGGTGACTGAGTCAGTGAGTGAACGAATGAGTGTGGTATGGAGCAGCCAGGTTTGTTTTCTTCGACTAAACCTCCAGTAGGAACCGAACAAAAAACAGCCATTACCCCATCTAGCAGGTTCCAAAAGTAAATGGGGTATTGTCGCTTCACCCCAGACTTCTATTTTGTGGAGGTGGGTTCAAGTGGTGTGAAAATGACTTGCTTGGCTTGTCTCCGTTCTTTTGCAACATAGTCAGCTCTTAAGATCTATTCTTGAATATGTCTTGCGGCACCTCCTTCACCGGACTCACAAGCAGCTCCTCTGACTCTCTCTTGCGCTTTGCTGGAGTCTGCATGGGAAGAAGATGAAGAGCTCTAAGATAAAATGGCTGCAATCAGATCACCAAGTAGGCGACGCACCCTTCACCACTTGTAAAGCAACTCTCACCACAAGGAAGTTGGCAGGCAACCCGTAGGTTGTTTCTAGAGGTTTCTATAGGCAGCCCATGGGTTCCCCTTCATCTTGGGATTGTGGGTCTCATATGGCCAACCCTCCAAGGGCTTATAGGGCCAACCTTTGGCAGCAGGCCCTCATGGAAACCTGGCTTCCGCTATGAAGCCTTTGTGAGGTCTGGTGCAATCAAAACACTGTGAACGCTGAGTAAAACAAACCCATTGAACAAAACCATGCATTTAGAAAAAAAACTTCCAGCACACTCTATCCTGCAAGGAAACGCTATAGTGTATCGACTTCCTGGTTTGCTCATCACCTTCTATCTGCTATTTGAACAAAAACACGTCTCGACTTCAACAACTGCCAGTAGTAGCTCCTGGAATGTCTGCTAGTAGCAAGAAGCAACCAGTAACAAGGGCATCGCTACTAGGTTGCAAGGAAGCTACTAGTAGCTCCTGGCATGTCTACTAGTAACAAGAAGCAACCAGTAACAAGGGAATCGCTACTAGGTTGCAAGGAAGCTACTACCTGGCATGTCTACTAGTAACAAGAAGCAACCAGTAGCAAGGGCATCGCTACTAGGTTGCAATGGACTACTAGGAACAAAGGGCATCCATACTCCTCTGACTGAGTCACCTTGGTCGTCGGTTCCCGGGAAGTTTTGTTTCCCTACTTCGCTGAATTGGAGATGTCTGCGTTATATAGACAACACAGTGACACATGAAAGTGTGGAAACAAGGAACCCTGATCCAGGGAAGAAGGAATACAAATTGAACATAAACAGCCACATCCAGTGGGCCAGGGCTTGTTCTGACACACGTCCTTGCGATTGGATTAAAATTGCCCAACCCATGCGCCCACCTGGCTCGACACGAAGGACTGGTCATATCCCTGGCATCTGATTGCACACATGGTGTGAGTTGTTGTACCCCGCCACACCAATATAATGTCAATATATATATATACATACATATTATATTACTATATATATATACACCAGCTGTGTTTGGTTGAGGGTGTGATCATCAAGTTTTGCTGTTTTGGTAGTGGATGCACTACCTTCAAAAGGGTGGTTTCACATAACTTAGTATAGCAAACCACCCGCTTAAATTGCTCAAACCATGGACCAAACGTAGAACCCTTGGCACTCAGCAGGAACAGTGGTAATCTACGCCAGTGCCGCGGACACGAGCTCTTGGTTCTTCTCTTTGGGCTGAAGCAATGCTCGAAGTCCTGCAACGCAAGTGCATGAGCCAACATCAGGGCAGGGGCCGGGCAGGTGCAGCCACAAGTAAACAGTTGCAACATGTTGCAGACATTTGGATAGCAGGAGTCCACCCAAAAGTTGCAAAGCCTGTTGAGCCCCATACAGATTTCTTCTCCAAGGATGGACTGAAGAAGGACTGGAAGCACACTCCCAAGGGGTTCTTGACCTCAAAACGAGATGAACCCTATGGTATCTCGGATGTCTCCGACATCCGGTTCTGGGCGGCACGACAGCTTGTGGTGAGGTCGTTGACCCCACCCTGCAAAGCAATGCTACTGTCCATACAAGATGATACAAGAAATCCTATGCCAAGGATTGGAAACACACACACACGGAAAAGAACATGTGTATTAGCTGCTAGCTGTGCTTTTCGCAGTTGCCAGTGGTGCACTGCAATCATGTCATTTCCATCTGGAAGGTAGTAATAGGTCAGACCTAAATGGGAGGACCCCAAAAACTCTCCCCGCTTCTGGAGGCGGTCTGATATCTCGGAATCGCCTTTTTATCCAACACCCGTGGTGAATCAGGGCACATCCAGGCCGGGCTGTGCCACTGCATATGACAAGTGGTGTAGACTTCAGGAAGAACGACTGAACAAATGATTCACCCTTCTGTTCGTTTGCACATGCTGTCCCCTGCCAATCCACCCGAACCCAGGGTTGGTTGATTCCCAAATTTACAGCGATCAACATGGTCCTGACCGCCAGTGTAGGACCTGGAACGGAACAACGGCTGTTTTGTTTTCGAAGATATTGTGATTTCTGGGGCAGTGTTTGGCGTAAGTTGATCGAATATTAATTTGGACTACCCCCCAAGATGTTGAATTACACCCAAAGATATTCAATCAATGAACTATCAAGTTGATGGAATTCAGTTCCTGGTTCTCATCTGCTTCAGAGATTCAGGAATGAACTTGTAACTTCGAAGAGTTGACAACAGGGTCAGAACTATTGCAGTGTCAAACACTCAAAGAAATGAGACCTCTGTTAGAGACAGTCGTGCTGTAAACATGTGCTTTAGATTGTTTTAGATGTTTTAGCTTGAGGGGATTGGAGTCTGCAATGCAATAGAATGCAGTGCAGATCCAACGATTTTGCGAATGGTTCAATTGAAGTCGCATCCGTCTTTTTGTCCCTTGCTCCCTTGCCAATGTCCTTTCCTGTTTGCTTCCCTGTTGACGTTGGTCACCAGCAGCCTGCTTTAAGCATCTCCTTTCGGGGGCCCCATGAGGTGACAAACAGGAAACACATAAGATCCTGAAGGTCGTCAAAGATCTCTTTTGCTACTAAAGTAAGTGCATCGCTGCTAGTAACTTAGTAGCACTTGTTACAAGTGTAATGCCCTTGTTGCTAGTAGCGATGCACTTGTTGCTACTCCTAGCGATGCACAGATCCAATGAGTTCAGCTCTCCTCTCTTCATTTTGGGTTTGGAAACTGCTCCAGGTTCCCGGCTCTCAGAATAGCAAACAAAAACAATGGCAAAACACGTGTTGTACGGGACAAACCTGCTTCGGGACAGCCAGTTCGGTTTCACCGAACCAAAAAATACCTCCAAAAACCATGAATCATGCTGGTTCCCAGGAGAACGCTTTCTGGCCGACACACTGCACGGGTGGGCGGAGTTGGCGACCGCGATGCGCGAGCGCCAAACGCACAGCGCCAAAAGCACGTGTGGGCGGAGCCAAGCGACGCCATGGAGTGCAAAAGTTGGAGAGACCTAGGTCGCGCCCACGGTCGAGCAGTATATTCCTTAAAGAGAACTTGGGGCGAACCAATCCCAAACATTTTTGTTTGATATTTGTCAAAGCCAGAATTGGAAACAAAATCAAAAGTCGTGAGGCGTTCTATCTTGATAGAACCATTAGAGCGGACTTGGCGTGCTTCTGAGTGTAACGCAATAAAACTACAATTGACTACAATGAGGACAATTAAAACGCCCAGGTGTGCTGCAATGGAATGGGAATGGATCAGGGACTACTCAAATAGAATTAAACTTGTTTCTGTGTGTTGAATCTGCGTTTAAACTTTAAACTTGCATGGGTGTCAAAAAGGAATGTCGTAAACCGATGCCGTGACAACACTGGCCAAGCAAGAGTTTGGTTTTTTGAAGTCCACACTCATTACAGCATATTACAGCCCTTTCTGCCTAGCGGTTTGACCTGTTGCAGTGTGGGCTGTCGTTTCTTCACACCAGACAGGCTTGTATTACTATCCCGACAGGAAACTCCAGCTTCCGCACTCTAGAGCACACTTATGTGAGCAATTCACCTGAGGGCACACATATGAGAGAGCTAAGAGAGCACACCCATGAGAGCACGGGCATAAGTGAGCAGCACGCAGCACACATATGAGAGCATACAGGAAAACATGTGAGAAGTGAGAACACACATATGAGAGCACGGGTAAGAGTGACCACACATCATATGAGAAAACACGAGAGTAAGAGTGAGAGAAGACATTTAAAAAAAAAACACACACCTTTCAGAACGCACAAATATACATGGGAGCTCACACATGAGAGCATGCATATCCGAGCAAGCGCATGAGAGCACACACACACACACATGAGAGCACACAAATGAAAGCAAACATGAGAGCACACATATCGGAGCACACATAGGAGAACAATCATATGAGAGTACATGTATGAGAGAAACCATATGAGAGCACACGCGTGAGAGCACACATTCGAGAGCACACAGTGAGAGCGCAAATATGAGAGCACACACACACATCAAGGAGCACACTTGCAAGAACACACACATATGAGAGCGCGCGCACACACACACACACACATGCACACACACACACAAGAACACACATATATATATATATATACATGAAAGCACACATAACATGAGTGAATCGTGCGCACACATGAGAGGAGATAGAAAAAGAGCACAAAAGAAAACATATCAACGCACACACACACACACACGGATAAGAGCGCACAATGAGACCACACACATGAGAGGTTCACAGAATCTCCACTTCCAGGTTTACAAAATACTGCTCCCATGGTGTGCCCACATTGTTTGGGGAATAGAACTTACAAGGGTGTGACAATTGACTGTTTCACGCCTGCCAAGAAAAGTTGACTTGTTCATTTGATCCGCAAACGGTTAACCACAATAAACTATTGTCTGCCTAAAGTCTCTCTGGATATACATCTATCCTGCGTATATAATAGTATATTTGTGATGCCAGTGGTGATTGATGTGTGCCCGCTTGATGTTTGTTCGGCGTCGTCAGCTCGTCTGTTCAACCTGTTTGATGATTGGGGATATAGGTATGGACGTGTATTGACACAACATCTGCCGCATTTAAATGTACGGAAATGTATCGAACAATAATTAAATGAAAAACATACTACTTACTCTAGACAGAAGTAGTATGAAGTATATGACTAAAGTCTAACTACAATAACAATAGAAGCATACGTACCAAGTAGAAGAGGTGACCTTCCTGTGCTTCCCAAAGAGATTGAGCTTGGGTCTCTACTGCGCGCTTTGCTCACCTCAATAAGTAGCGTGCGCCCAACTCCTCAAAAGCTTATTCTCGTGCTTGTCAACTTTGTTCATCGCCTTGTCGCCTTGACAGTCCGCGTGAGGGCTCAGCTCTCTCACTCAGCGCAGCCCATCTTTCGAGAGCTCAGCATCCCACACTGGTCACTTAGCTCTTATGCTTTGCATCGTTTGCGGAGCGTCCACCAATTTCGGCCTCCACCTTTTGACTCTTGGCGAGTGAGGAGCAAACTGCTGCGAAGTAAATCGCTGGCCGGTTGGCAAGACCTGGTCTATCGGACTATCATAAAGCTCATCTCGTTGTACCCACAGCCCCTAGGGCCCTGGAGCAACAATGAAAAAGACATCTGAGTCCAATTTCCCCCGCCGGACATTTAACATTCCGTGGAATCCCACGTCAACAGCGTCTCAGTTCAACTCTCTGGGCACCGGACAAATATCTCCAGGACAAATCAGAATCAAACTCGCCAAAGGCTGCGGAACGTCGTTGTTATTGGTTCGGGCGCGGCGGTGGCAGGTGGTCGTTCACGGTGGTCGTTCACCAAGGCATCCGACTTTTCAGAAGGTCGCACGAGGTCTGATTGGGATTGGTCTTATTCGACCAGTACATGGGTCAGGTCTTAAGGTCGAGGGGACCCCTGATGGCTCCTGGTGACATTTTTTGTGAGACTTTCCGCTGGAGCGGGGCTCACCATGGTTGGAGGGTTCCTTTGGCATCGCAAAGCCCCATTGACCAGGTTAGATCAGGTGATTTCCTATCTGGAGACTTTCTTGTTTGCCAAATGTTGCCAGCCAGGTAGAAGGCATGGCTTCGTCTCCTTCAGGGGCACTGACTGGGTTGCCAGTCTGCGCATGACTTCATATGTCAAGTCTAAACTACAAGTTGTTTTTCTGAAAGAATTCCTGAAGTGGTTCCTTCATCGATAGGTACCTGCACTTGTGAAACTCGCATTGCTTGTCAAATCTTTGGGACCAGAATTCAAGTTAAGGCGACCTGCGGACGCGGGATTGATTTCAGTGACCTGTGGACTTCAACAAACTCCAAACACACGACATGGGAAAAGCTGGGGCAGGGGAGAACCTGTGGAACAGATTGGAACAGCCTTCTTCATTGATTCTGTCACCGAAATCCTGAAAACCACAAAACATATCGGTAACATTCGGTAACTCCATTTGATTCATACCACATTCGAGTCCAAAGGAAGTTCGCTCTCTGGTGCTTCGAGAGAAACAGTCCATGAATTTGGAGACTGCCGGAGATGTGTCCTGCATCTCTTCAGGCTTCAGGTTGACACCATGCATACCTGGGCCGTCGGATGTCGGACGGGTCGATCCCGGGTATCGAAGTCGCAGAAATGCGGGTTAATAATGATGAAGAAACATAACATAAGTAACTTCATGCATCGACCTCTAGGAGATCGATGAAAGAAAGAAGAACTGCAAAAAGACCGACTATCCCACACCGGCCGAGGACTCCAACCTACACGTGTAGCCTGCAACCTGCACCTGGCCATCTGCAACATCTGATGAGATGACATGCCTGATGAACAGAATCAGGCCACTTCAATGTAGTGCCATTGGATGAACAATGATTTCAGAATCTTTCAGACCACTTCATATCCATCAATAGTCCACAAACACCTCATGACATCAATTTTGCTCAGTCCTTATACAACTGTTCAATGATAACTCATATTCTGCCATCTGCTTCTCCATGGTGGCAAGATATGCTCACGACACCTGCATTCTGTTCAAAATCTGTATATCCTACCCTCAAACTTCATTAAAATCAACATCCTCAGCCTCGGCTTACACGCTCCCACAAAAGGCCAGATCTCAGCAGCACGGAATTTGCAGGTGTGCGCCACTTCAAACCCCAACGATTCAAAGAAATGCCCAACAAGCAAATCCAAAAAATCATCCGAAACCTGCTTCTCTCTGCTTCTTGTCATCTTGAATCGTCTCCCGTGGATCCCGACTTCGTCGAAACGAGGACGTCGAACGCTGCCCGTACGCTGGCCGACCGAGGCGCTGAGCCCCGCGGCGAACTCCGTGGGATTCAACGCGCTCCGCCGGCCCTTGTCCAGGGCCTGGCCGGTCTGAGGCGTTCGTAGCGAAGAGAAGCAACTTTGTGACGTTCGTAGTACTGGCCTCCAACCTAATAGCGATGGCCACCGAGCATAGCGTCCTGCGTCCTTGTGACTCAGGGATACAAAATTCCCCCCAGGGTCCCAGTTCGTTTGTCTCGGCGAATCTCGAGTGGAAGCGGAAGCGCTGAAATCTCAGGGACGTTCTGCAGAAGTCTGCTGCGGTTCAAAGTTCGAGCATGTACAAGACTAAGGTGCCACACAGTGGAACAATGCAAATGAATCTGTGGTCCACAGTCCACACATGTCCACACGGCTTCGTTTGACTATGCCTTGCCATGTCTTGAACCCCAATCCTCACTGGTACGGATAGAGCTACAATAAATGTATAATCTCTGCAGCATTCCTCGAACAATCTTGTAACACTGTAGGTTCTGAAAACAATGACTGATACGTATTGCGAGATGTATTGTTGCTGTAGATAGCTGTAGGGTGATCCACAACGGTGCACCAACACAGCCACACCGACCAACGGCAGGACTCGCGCCCGGAAGGACTCGCGCATGGAGGCATAGCGGCGTTCGCAGATCCTAAGTGTTTGGAAAACAGAAAACATGTCTGCTAACCACAAAATTACAAAACATGGACCTGAAGCCGGAATTAGCACAGAAAAAAACAGAGCCAGGCAGGAGCACCCAAACCATGAGGTTCTATGAGGTTCTCCACGTGTTCAGATCGTTTGCACTCATCACACTGCAAAACCCTGTTATATACACTCCCGAGTCAACTCACATAGACCCTGACTGTCTGGCCCCCTGGAAGAGTGTTTTCCTCTACCAACCAGTGGTTTTCAGGGTCCATGTTAGTCTTCCAGGGTGTATTTATTTCAAAGAATGACCATACGATACCATACGTATAATGATATACGTGGATGCTGGATCATGGAATTGAATAAATTGCAAAGCATGGAAGAACTAGAAGTAAAAAACAATGTCTTTATATTGGGATAGTTGGGGGTTTCTGACACCAATCATGATCAATGCAAATATTTTGGTATCCATCCAATCTCATTGCTGCAATTGGAGGATGCCAGGGATGCAAGGTGGATAGTGTAAGTCCTCAAAGAACTAGACTCTGAGAGAGCCACCGAGCCACGCCTCCAAACCAGTCAACCAAAAACCATGTATAATGACGCAGTCAAAGTTAGAACATCAATTTTGTTCAAATAAAAAAACGTATTTTAGAACATCCCTTGCAAGGGTATTTAAGAACATCAATAACAAGAGAATCGCATTTTAGAACATAGCTCTTAGCAACATCCATGATAGGGTTACCAAATGTTCTAAGTATTTACCAGATGTTCTAAGAGTATGTTCTAAAATACTGTTCCTCCCAAGGCCCCCCCCCCTCCCCCCCCCCCCCCAGGTCCTTTTCCTCGTCTCCCCCCCTCCAAACTCATATATATATATATATTTTTTACATGCACCCCTTATGTATACATCTTCATGTGTGGATGGTTGTGGTGCATGTTCTATGTTCTATGTTCTTTGTTCTGCAGCTGAGCAGCTGATTGAATGTGTGTTTTTGGGGCATGATGGTCTAAGTTTCCAAAACCACATGGCACAGCGACATCACCTTTCCAAAGCTTTAGTGGCTAGTCTAATGAAGAATCACCATTAAAAAAAGTAAAGGGAAAAAGAAAGAACCCTTTGATCTGGAGGTTTTTTCAATTTTTGATACGAGTTGAATAGAAGATTTTATACAAAATCTTCCTGGGTGACTTTTCGGTTTTGAAGCTCTTCCCAGGTTTCCCCACAAAATCTGCACTTCAAGCTTC